ATCACACCATTTCTTTAAGTTCTTTTTTATCAAGGTATCATAGTTATATTGACTTGTCTGCAGATCAAAATGTTATCCGCAGATTCCGTGTATTCTCGTAAAAACATTGTACCGATAGCTATTTGCTGCAAATTCCGTTGAATCGAATTGCATTCGTTCTTTGATAATTATCTTAAGAGTAATAATACAGGCAAATTGTAGGATATATAAGTTTAAAGCTAGTGAAATTATTTTGGAAATTTGGTTTTAAAAAGTCATTCATTATCTGCACCATTTATTGGTGATTGTATAACCCGGGAAAATTGTAATATTCTCAAATTATATATTTCCCAGTAAACAGTTATGAATATCCTAGCATAATTTATGTTATTTTCAGGCGCTATTGTTTGGTGCAGCAATCTTTGCATTATTGATTGCTTGTAAACTTAATGCTCACTTTACCAAATTCGTCGATAGCGAAGACACCAGTGACAGTGAAAGTAATTTTTAAATAGAACTTTTACTTAATTCCTCGTGAAAAGACAAAGTTCATTTTTCAGACTTTACGTTTTCTTTTTTGATTGAAATTGAATAATTCATCTCTGAGCACTTGGGCGAAGTAAGCTAAAAGCTCGATATATCTAATTATTCTCCATTGCATATGTTTTCTACGGTTTAAACCTGAAATTGACTTTTTAGATTCTATAATTTTCACTAATTTTATAATCTTAGAAAATTTTACTAGATTTTTAATTGGCTGTTACTAATTTGGCTTATTTATTTTATCAGCAAAATTGTATGGCAAAGAGGAGAAATGATGAATTACTAGGAATGATTTATTTAATCTTATTTGATCTCTTGCGTACTAGAGATGCAAAGTACATACTGCTGCGAAGATTCAAGTACATAAGTAAGGATATATAAAAAAGAAAAAGCTAGTCAGTAATTTTTATTAATTGTTAAGGTAATCGCCGTGATGTTTCACCAATTCGTGAAAAAGAAGAAAATAACGATTTAGATCGTCCAAGCAATCAAACTACTTTGGAATTAGCGCGCAGTCGACGTCTGGGAAAAAATAGGCGAACGGTGGACTGGGTTCGCGATGCTCGGAAAATTTGTCGCCAGTTAATGGTAGTGTCATCATCATCATTATCATCATCATCATCATCATCATCATCGTCATCATCATCATC